ACTGAGTCTGTTAGAAACGGCAGAAAACCCTGAACAATAAAGAGTTTAATCATCAAGATTAATGATGTTTTCTAAATGAGCACAACATTTTACAATTATTGCCCATTCCCATCAAGACTGAACATGTACAACAGCCATCCTCCTGACACACACACACACACGCACACGCACACGCACGCGCACGCGCACGCACACGCACGCTCACACGCTCACACACACACACACACACACACACACACACACACACGCACGCTCACGCTCACTAATGATCTGCTGCTTTATCAGTTATGAATGCTGTCCTGCTAAACCAGGGGTGTCCACACTCAGTCCCGGTGGTCCGGTGTCCTGCATATTTTAGCTCCACCCCTAATCAAACACCTGAACAGCTGATCAGGCTCTCACTAGATGTACTAGAAAGATCCCTGCAGGTGTGTTGAAGCAAGCTGGAGCTCACCTCAGCCGGTCACCGGCCCTGCAGGACTGATCTGCTGCGTTGTAGAGGTGTAGTGAAGGCGGCAGCAGGAGTGTTAATGCTGTGTGTGTGTGTGTGTGTGTGTGTGTGTGTTACCTTGACCCATGAGTGCTCCTCGTGGGGCGTCTCTGGCGGAGCCGAAGCCCAGCTCTCTGCACACCACACTGGCCGCGGAGAGATCCCAGCGCCGGTCACACACCGTCCCCCATTTACCCTCACGCAGCACCTCCACACGGCCCTCGCCCACCCGCGCACCTGCCTTCAGACGCACCGCCGCCTGCAGCACACACACACACACACACACACACACACAGGATGTTAGGCTGAGAGATTACATTAACACGTGTGCTGCTGGGTGTTTTCATCACTCTGGGCTGATTTTGAGGCCTGCAGGATCAATAGTCAATAGCTGTAGTCAATAACTGATTATAATGGAGGAAAGCAGCAGCACCATCACCAGAGAGGAGTCAAACTGTAGAGTGAGTGTGTCTACTGTAAGAGTTTCAGGGTGAATGATGACAGACTGCTGCTGATATGTGGGCTGCATTACTGCATTAACACTGAGGGGACTCAATGGAGAGTCATGCTGCAGGGGAACGCTGAACATGCTGTATGTGACCGGGCGCAGGTGCTCACGCTGATGGGGCGTCTGGAGGCGGAGTCTGTGTCGAACTGAGCTCCAGGAACGCAGCGCACCACCGCATGCATGCCTCCAGCACAGGGGACATCATCACTGCGCGACACAGACAGCAGAGCCCGACACTGAGCCAGAGACACCTCTGAGCCTGAACACTGCACACGCTCCACCCAGAACTGCTTCTTACTGACTGTAGACCTGCGCACACACACACACACACACACACACACACACACACACACACACACACCAAATCCTTCAATATGAGGGGGAACATTTCATTCTGTTATTAAATGTTGTTTAACACAGATTACTATAGCAGAGGTTAAACTAGTTCTGCACTGTATAGACACACATTTACCAATAGCGGTTCATTCTGCTGGATAAGCCAGATCCACGTCAGAGAGAAGAGCAATACTTTTAGTTATATGTGTGGGCGGCACGGTGGCGCAGTGGTCAGCACTGTTGCCTCACTTCAAGAAGGTCTCTGGTTTGAGTCTCGGCTGGGTCAGTTGGTGTTTCTGTGTGGAGTTTGCATGTTCTCCCCGTGTTGGTGTGGGTTTCCTCCGGGTGCTCCGGTTTCCCCCACAGTCCAAACACATGCGCTATAGGGGAACTGATCAACTACACTGGCTGTAGTGTGTGAGTGTGTATGGGTGTTTTCCAGTACTAGGTTGCAGCTGGAAGGGCATCCGCTGTGTAAAACATATGCTGGAATAGTTGGTGGTTCATTCCGCTGTGGTGACCCCTGATTAATAGAGGGACTCAGCTGAAGGAGAATGAGTGAGTGAGCTGTGTAAATCTAAATCTGATGAGCGGAGGCTCTCCTGTCTCCAGCAGGTGCTGTTAGCTGAACTAGAGCTGATAACGAACACCAACACTGGGAAATAC